TCGCCTGCTCACTCACTCACTCGCCCACTCGCTCACCCACTCACCCACTCACTCATTCACCCACTCGCTCATTCACCCACTCACTCACCCACTCACTCACTCGCCCACTCACCCACTCACCCACTCACTCACTCACTCACCCACACGCACACTCACCCACTCACGCACTCACTCACTCACCCACTCGCTCGCCCGCTCACCCACGCGCTCACCCACTTGCTCACCCACGCGCTCACCCACTCGCTCACCCACGCGCTCACCCACTCGCTCACTCACTCGCTCACCCGCTCACTCACTCGCTCACCCACTCTCTCGCCTGTTCACCCACTCGCTCACCCGCTCACCCACTCGCTCACCCACTCACCCACTCGCTCACCCACTCGCTCACCCGCTCACTCACCCACTCACCCGCTCACCCGCTCTCTGTGTGTGTGTTGCAGGTCTGCCCTTGGGTTGGGTGGCCGGGCAGCCGAAGGGCAGCTCAACGTGAAGTGTAGCGTGGGCAGTCCGGTCAAGGTGAGGCCTTGCACACACAGACAAAGATCCCCCATATAGCCTTAGCAGACTGTAGGGGCAAGTGCTGTTAGTAGCGAGTAGCAGCACCTACACACAGACAAAGATCCTCCATGTAGCCTGTAACAGACTGTAGGGGCAAGTGCTGTTAGCGAGCACCTACACACAGACAAAGATCCCCCGTGTAGCCTCACACAGACTGTAGGGGCAAGTGCTGTTAGTAGCGAGTAGCCGCACCTACACACAGACAAAGATCCCCCGTGTAGCCTCTAACAGACTGTAGGGGCAAGTGCTGTTAGTAGCGAGTAGCAGCACCTACACACAGACAAAGATCCCCCACCGTGTAGCCTGTAACAGGCTGTAGGGGCAAGTGCTGTTAGCGAGTAGCAGCACCTACACACAGACAAAGATCCCCCGTGTAGCCTGTAACAGACTCTAGGGGCAAGTGCTGTTAGTAGCGAGTAGCAGCACCTACACACAGACAAAGATCCCCCGTGTAGCCTCACACAGACTGTAGGGGCAAGTGCTGTTAGTAGCGAGTAGCAGCACCTACACACAGACAAAGATCCCCCGTGTAGCCTCACACAGACTGTAGGGGCAAGTGCTGTTAGTAGCGAGTAGCAGCACCTACACACAGACAAAGATCCCCCGTGTAGCCTCACACAGACTGTAGGGGCAAGTGCTGTTAGTAGCGAGTAGCAGCACCTACACACAGACAAAGATCCCCCGTGTAGCCTCACACAGACTGTAGGGGCAAGTGCTGTTAGTAGCGAGTAGCACCTACACACACACAAAGATCCCCCGTGTAGCCTGTAACAGGCTGTAGGGGCAAGTGCTGTTAGTAGCGAGTAGCAGCACCTACACACAGACAAAGATCCCCCGTGTAGCCTTAGCAGACTGTAGGGGCAAGTGCTGTTAGCAGCGAGTAGCAGCACCTACACACAGACAAAGATCCCCCATATAGCCTTAACAGACTGTAGGGGCAAGTGCTGTTAGCGAGCACCTATGAAGGCCGGAACGGTACCCGAGGGGGTGGGTGGCCAGCACCACGCCCGACCGCCTTTGTCTCCCTAGTGGCGATGTTTACACACTGCAACAGGTACTCATTGAAGGCTGAGTCGACCTAGGGGAGGCCCGGGACCGGTTCAGATAATCGTCACTGGTGTTGGCCGTGAGCGGGAATCGAACCCGGGTCGCCAGGTTCATAGCGCAGCGTAGCGCTAACCGCTACACTATCGCTCCCCACACACAGACACACACACAGACACACAGTCACACACACAGACACACACACACAGACACACACACAGACACACACACAGTCACACACACACAGTCACAGACACACACAGTCACACTCACCTTGTGTCTCTGTCTCTCTTCTCTTTCCTACAGAACAGCCTCGCCGAAGCATCTATCCATCTACCGGCATCTCTCTTCACGACCTCCTCCTCATCCTCCACCTCCTCCACCTCGTCAGCGGACGATGGGAGCTGCCGACTGGTGGTGATCGTCTACCGCAACGGCCTCCTCTTCCCACCGCCTCCGCGTGGCGCCACCACCGGCACCACCGCCGACTCAACGGTGGCAGTCACCGGCCCGGTGGTCTACGTGAGCATCGGTGAGCCGGGTTCACGGTGGCCGTGTTGGTGGTGATGGTGGCGGTGTTCACGGTGGCCGTGTTGATGGTGTTGGTGGTGTTCACGGTGGCCGTGTTGGTGGTGGCGGTGTTCACGGTGGCTGTGTTGGTGGTGGTGGCGGTGTTCACGGTGGCTGTGTTGGTGGTGGCGGTGTTCACGGTGGCCGTGTTGGTGGTGGCGGTGTTCACGGTGGCCGTGTTGGTGGTGGCGGTGTTCACGGTGGCCGTGTTGGTGGTGGCGGTGTTCACCATGGCCGTGTTGGTGGTGGCGGTGTTCACGGTGGCCGTGTTGGTGGTGGCGGTGTTCACGGTGGCCGTGTTGGTGGTGGTGGCGGTGTTCACGGTGGCTGTGTTGGTGGTGGCGGTGTTCACGGTGGCCGTGTTGGTGGTGGCGGTGTTCACGGTGGCCGTGTTGGTGGTGGCGGTGTTCACGGTGGCCGTGTTGGTGGTGGCGGTGTTCACGGTGGCCGTGTTGGTGGTGGCGGTGTTCACCATGGCCATGTTGGTGGTGGCAGTGTTCACGGTGGCCGTGTTGATGGTGGTGGGGTTCATGGTGGCCTGGTTGGTGGTGGCGGTGTTCACGGTGGCCGTGTTGGTGTTGTGGTGTTCACGGTGGCCGTGTTGGTGGTGGCGGTGTTCACGGTGGCCGTGTTGATGGTGGTGGGGTTCATGGTGGCCTGGTTGGTGGTGGCGGTGTTCACGGTGGCCGTGTTGGTGGTGGCGGTGTTCACGGTGGCCGTGTTGGTGGTGGTGGTGTTCACGGTAGCCGTGTTGGTGGTGGCGGTGTTCACGGTGGCCGTGTTGGTGGTGGTGGTGTTCACAGTAGCCGTGTTGGTGGTGGCGGTGTTCACGGTGGCCGTGTTGGTGGTGGCGGTGTTCACCGTGGCCGTGTTGATGGTGGTGGTGTTCACGGTGGCTGTGTTGGTGGTGGTGGGTGAGTGGGTGAGTAAGGTGAGCATGTTTGTGTGAGTGGGTGAGTAAGGCGTGTGTGTGTGTGTGAACGAATGGCGGTTGTTGTTGTTGTTGTGTGAGAGTGTGTGAGAGTGTGTGAGTGTGTGAGAGTGTGTGAGTGTATGAGTGAGTGAGTGTATGAGTGTGTGTGTGAGTGAGTGTGTGAGTGAGTGAGTGTATGAGTGTATGAGTGAGTGTGTGTGTGTGTGAGTGAGTGAGTGTGTGAGTGAGTGTATGAGTGAGTGTGTGTGTGAGAGTGAGTGTGTGAGTGAGTGAGTGTGTGAGTGTATGAGTGAGTGAGTGTATGAGTGAGTGTGTGAGTGAGTGAGTGTGTGAGTGAGTGTGTATGAGTGTATGAGTGAGTGACTGTGTGAGTGTGTGTGAGTGAGTGAGTGTATGAGTGAGTGTGTGAATGAGTGAGTGAGTGTGTGAGTGAGTGTGTGAGTGAGTGTGTGAGTGAGTGAGTGTGTGAGTGTGTGTATGAGTGAGTGTGTGTGTGAGTGTGTGTATGAGTGAGTGAGTGTGTGAGTGAGTGTGTGAGTGAGTGTGTGAGTGTGTGAGTGAGTGAGTGTGTGAGTGAGTGTATGAGTGAGTGAGTGTGTGAGTGAGTGTGGGAGTGAGTGAGTGTGTGTGTGAGTGAGTGAGTGTAAGTGAGTGTGTGTGTATGAGTGAGTGTGTGAGTGTGTGTGAGTGTATGAGTGTGCGTTGTTGTTGTGGTTGTTGTTGTAACCAAGGGGGCCGCCACTTTTTTGCCCGTTGTCTAGATGGCGTCCAGCTCTCCTCCCTGCCGGAGCCCATCGCTGTCATCCTCCACCACTCCGCACAAGGCCCTACCCCCAGGGCCGCCTACCTCCGGCTTCCACCGCCACCACCGCCACGGCCACCACCACAACCACCAGCAACCACAACCGGCCAGTCCCCGCCCACCAAACCGCCCACCGTGAAAGAAGCTGGTGGTGATGGTGGTGGTGATGGTGGTGGTGATGGGAAATGGCCCAGCACTCAAGATGGCGTGTGGGTGGTGGACGGTGGTGGCGGTGGTGGCGGTGGTGGCGGTGGTGGTGGTGGTGGTGGTGCGGTGGCACCGTGCGTGTGGAGAGCCACGGAGGGCACCGCGGTGGCTCTGCTGTGCACGCAGCTGGGACACGTGGCGCTGGTCACGGTGAGAGGGGCTGCCACTCACTCAGTCACTCACCCACTCACCCACTCACTCACCCACTCACCTCCACACTCACTCACTCACCCACTCACTCACTCACCCACTCGCTCACTCACTCACTCACACACACACTCACACACACTCACTCACTCACCCACTCACACACTCTCACACACACACACTCACTCACCCACTCACCCACCCACTCACTCACCCACTCGCTCAGCCAGCCACTCACTCAGTCACTCACTCACTAACCCACCCACCCACTCACCCACCCACCCACCCACTCACCCACCCACCCACTCACTCACCCACCCACCCACTCACTCACCCACCCACCCACTCACCCACCCACTCACTCACCCACCCACCCACTCACCCACCCACTCACTCACTCACACAGTCACTCACCCAAACATGATTTGTCGATTGTTGTTGGTGCCTCTGGTTGTTATTGTTGTTGTTGATTTTTGTTGTTAACTCCACCACCACCACCATCACCACCACCATCACCACCACCACCATCACCACCACCACCACCATCACCACCACCACCATCACCACCACCATCACCACCATCACCACCACCACCATCACCACCACCATCACCACCATCACCACCACCACCACCCTCAGGACACGTCCATCCCTCTGCACCCCGTCCTGGTGTCCAGCTCATCGTTCCGACCTGTGATGCACGCCGGCACCGCCGTGCTCACCGCTTGCTCGCTCACCATCGTCCTCACCTATCTCGTCTTCCACAGGTGCCCTGCACGGGGTCACAACAGGGGTCACGACAGGGGTCACCACAGGGGTCACCACAGGGGTCATCACAGACAGGGGTCACCACAGGGGTCACCACAGGGGTCACCACAGGGGGTCACCACAGGGGTCACCACAGGGGTCATCACAGCCAGGGGTCACCACAGGGGTCACCACAGGGGTCACCACAGGCAGGGGTCACCACAGGGGGTCACCACAGGCAGGGGTCACCACAGGGGTCACCACAGGGGCCCCTACAGCCAGGGGTCACCACAGCCAGGGGTCACCACAGGGGTCACCACAGGGGTCACCATAGCCAGGGGTCACCACAGGGGCCCCTACAGCCAGGGGTCACCACAGGGGTCACCACAGGGGTCACCACAGACAGGGGTCACCACAGGGGTCCCTACAGCTGGGGGTCACCACAGGGGTCACCACAGAGGTCACCACAGGGGTCACCACAGAGGTCACCACAGGGGTCACCACAGGGGTCACCACAGGGGTCACCACAGCCGTGTGTGTGTGTGTGTAGTCCACCTCTCTGTCTGTGTCCCCCCTCTCCCTCCCCCCATGCCCCCCCCCCCCCCCGGGCCAGGGCGGTGAGGGTGGGTCGCAAGGCGTGGCACATGACGGTGAACGTCAGCGCCCACACGGCCCTCAGTGCCGCCGTCTTCACCGCCGGCGTCGAGCGCACCGATCACACCGCCCTGTGCCAGGCCGTGAGCGGGGAGGGGGGGAGGGAGGGTCTCTGTGTGTCTCTGTGTGTCTCTGTGGGTCTCTGTGAGTCTCTGTGTGTCTCTGTGGGTCTCTGTGGGTCTCTGTGGGTCTCTGTGAGTCTCTGTGGGTCTCTGTGGGTCTCTGTGGGTCTCTGTGGGTCTCTGTGGGTCTCTGTGGGTCTCTGTGGGTCACTGTGTGTCTCTGTGTGTCTCTGTGGGTCTCTGTGAGTCTCTGTGGGTCTCTGTGAGTCTCTGTGTGTCTCTGTGGGTCTCTGTGGGTCTCTGTGGGTCTCTGTGGGTCTCTGTGGGTCTCTGTGTGTCTCTGTGGGTCTCTGTGAGTCTCTGTGGGTCTCTGTGAGTCTCTGTGAGTCTCTGTGTGTCTCTGTGGGTCTCTGTGGGTCTCTGTGAGTCTCTGTGTGTCTCTGTGGGTCTCTGTGGGTCTCTGTGGGTCTCTGTGGGTCTCTGTGGGTCTCTGTGTGTCTCTGTGTGTCTCTGTGGGTCTCTGTGGGTCTCTGTGGGTCTCTGTGAGTCTCTGTGAGTCTCTGTGGGTCTCTGTGAGTCTCTGTGGGTCTCTGTGAGTCTATGTGGGTCTCTGTGGGTCTCTGTGGGTCTCTGTGTGTCTCTGTGGGTCTCTGTGGGTCTCTGTGGGTCTCTGTGAGTCTCTGTGGGTCTCTGTGGGTCTCTGTGGGTCTCTGTGAGTCTCTGTGGGTCTCTGTGGGTCTCTGTGGGTCTCTGTGTGTCTCTGTGGGTCTCTGTGGGTCTCTGTGGGTCTCTGTGAGTCTCTGTGGGTCTCTGTGAGTCTCTGTGTGTCTCTGTGTGTCTCTGTGAGTCTCTGTGAGTCTCTGTGGGTCTCTGTGGGTCTCTGTGGGTCTCTGTGGGTCTCTGTGGGTCTCTGTGGGTCTCTGTGAGTCTCTGTGGGTCTCTGTGGGTCTCTGTGGGTCTCTGTGGGTCTCTGTGTGTCTCTGTGGGTCTCTGTGAGTCTCTGTGTGTCTCTGTGGGTCTCTGTGAGTCTCTGTGGGTCTCTGTGGGTCTCTGTGTCTGTGTGTCTCTGTGGGTCTCTGTGGGTCTCTGTGAGTCTCTGTGTGTCTCTGTGGGTTTCTGTGAGTCTCTGTGGGTCTCTGTGGGTCTCTGTGTGTCTCTGTGAGTCTCTGTGGGTCTCTGTGGGTCTCTGTGGGTCTCTGTGTGTCTCTGTGGGTCTCTGTGGGTCTCTGTGGGTCTCTGTGGGTCTCTGTGGGTCTCTGTGGGTCTCTGTGGGTCTCTGTGAGTCTCTGTGAGTCTCTGTGGGTCTCTGTGAGTCTCTGTGAGTCTCTGTGAGTCTCTGTGGGTCTCTGTGTGGGTATCTGTGGGCCTCTGTGGGTCTCTGTGGGTCTCTGTGAGTCTCTGTGGGTCTCTGTGGGTCTCTGTGGGTCTCTGTGGGTCTCTGTGAGTCTCTGTGTGTCTCTGTGAGTCTCTGTGTGTCTCTGTGGGTCTCTGTGAGTCTCTGTGGGTCTCTGTGAGTCTCTGTGTGTCTCTGTGGGTCTCTGTGGGTCTCTGTGGGTATCTGTGGGTCTCTGTGAGTCTCTGTGTGTCTCTGTGTCTATGTGGGTCTATGTGGGTCTCTGTGGGTCTCTGTGTGTCTCTGTGAGTCTCTGTGGGTATCTGTGGGTCTCTGTGGGTCTCTGTGGGTCTCTGTGTGTATCTGTGGGTCTCTGTGAGTCTCTGTGGGTCTCTGTGAGTCTCTGTGTGTCTCTGTGAGTCTGTGTGTCTCTGTGGGTCTCTGTGGGTCTCTGTGAGTCTCTGTGGGTCTCTGTGGGTCTCTGTGGGTCTCTGTGAGTCTCTGTGGGTCTCTGTGAGTCTCTGTGGGTCTCTGTGGGTCTCTGTGGGTCTCTGTGGGTCTCTGTGAGTCTCTGTGGGTCTCTGTGGGTCTCTGTGGGTCTCTGTGAGTCTCTGTGGGTCTCTGTGGGTCTCTGTGGGTCTCTGTGGGTCTCTGTGGGTCTCTGTGAGTCTCTGTGGGTCTCTGTGGGTCTTGGTGGGTCTCTGTGTGTCTCTGTGGGTCTCTGTTAGTCTCTGTGAGTCTCTGTGGGTCTCTGTGGGTCTCTGTGTGTCTCTGTGAGTCTCTGTGGGTCTTGGTGGGTCTCTGTGAGTCTCTGTGAGTCTCTGTGGGTCTCTGTGTGTCTGTGTGGGTCTCTGTGTGTTCCTGGGTCTCTGTGTGTCTCTGTGGGTCTCTGTGAGTCTCTGTGGGTCTCTGTGGGTCTCTGTGTGTCTCTGTGTGTCTGTGTGGGTCTCTGTGGGTCTCTGTGTGTCTCTGTGAGTCTCTGTGAGTCTCTGTGTGTCTCTGTGGGTCTCTGTGTGTCTCTGTGTGTCTCTGTGAGTCTCTGTGAGTCTATGTGAGTCTATGTGGGTCTCTGTGGGTCTCTGTGGGTCTGTGTGAGTCTCTGTGGGTCTCTGTGGGTCTCTGTGGGTCTCTGTGGGTCTCTGTGAGTCTCTGTGGGTCTCTGTGGGTCTCTGTGTGTCTCTGTGGGTCTCTGTGGGTCTCTGTGTGTCTCTGTGAGTCTCTGTGGGTCTCTGTGGGTCTCTGTGGGCCTCTGTGAGTCTCTGTGGGTCTCTGTGAGTCTCTGTGGGTCTCTGTGAGTCTCTGTGAGTCTCTGTGTGTCTCTGTGGGTCTCTGTGGGTCTCTGTGAGTCTCTGTGAGTCTCTGTGGGTCTCTGTGTGTCTCTGTGTGTCTCTGTGGGTCTCTGTGTGTTCCTGGGTCTCTGTGAGTCTCTGTGAGTCTCTGTGTGTCTCTGTGGGTCTCTGTGTGTCTCTGTGGGTCTCTGTGGGTCTCTGTGGGTCTCTGTGAGTCTCTGTGTGTCTCTGTGTGTCTCTGTGTGTTCCTGGGTCTCTGTGGGTCTCTGTGGGTCTCTGTGGGTCTGTGTGAGTCTCTGTGGGTCTCTGTGGGTCTCTGTGGGTCTCTGTGAGTCTCTGTGGGTCTCTGTGCGTCTCTGTGGGTCTCTGTGGGTCTTTGTGGGTCTCTGTGAGTCTCTGTGGGTCTCTGTGAGTCTCTGTGAGTCTCTGTGGGTCTTGTTGGGTCTCTATGTGTCTCTGTGGATCTCTGTTAGTCTCTGTGAGTCTCTGTGGGTCTTTGTGGGTCTCTGTGGGTCTCTGTGTGTCTCTGTGGGTCTCTGTGTGTCTCTGTGGGTCTCTGTGGGTCTCTGTGAGTCTCTGTGGGTCTCTGTGGGTCTCTGTGTCTCTGTGGGTCTCTGTGTGTCTCTGTGGGTCTCTGTGGGTCTCTGTGAGTCTCTGTGTGTCTCTGTGTCTCTGTGGGTCTCTGTGTGTCTCTGTGGGTCTCTGTGGGTATCTGTGGGTCTCTGTGGGTCTCTGTGAGTCTCTGTGTGTCTCTGTGTGTCTCTGTGGGTCTCTGTGGGTCTCTGTGTGTCTCTGTGGGTCTCTGTGGGTCTCTGTGGGTCTCTGTGGGTCTCTGTGTGTCTCTGTGTCTCTGTGGGTCTCTGTGTGTCTCTGTGTGTCTCTGTGTCTCTGTGGGTCTCTGTGTGTCTCTGTGGGTCTCTGTGGGTCTCTGTGGGTCTCTGTGGGTCTCTGTGGGTCTCTGTGGGTCTCTGTGAGTCTCTGTGGGTCTCTGTGTGTCTCTGTGGGTCTCTGTGTGTCTCTGTGAGTCTCTGTGTGTCTCTGTGAGTCTCTGTGGGTCTCTGTGGGTCTCTGTGGGTCTGTGGGTCTCTGTGTGTCTCTGTGTGTCTCTGTGTGTCTCTGTGAGTCTCTGTGTGTCTCTGTGTCTCTGTGAGTCTATGTGAGTCTCTGTGAGTCTCTGTGGGTCTCTGTGGGTCTCTGTGGGTCTCTGTGTGGGTCTCTGTGGGTCTCTGTGGGTCTCTGTGTGGGTCTCTGTGGGTCTCTGTGAGTCTCTGTGGGTCTCTGTGTGTCTCTGTGTGTCTCTGTGGGTCTCTGTGGGTCTCTGTGGGTCTCTGTGTGTCTCTGTGAGTCTCTGTGTGTCTCTGTGGGTCTCTGTGGGTCTCTGTGGGTCTCTGTGTGTCTCTGTGAGTCTCTGTGTGTCTCTGTGGGTCTCTGTGGGTCTCTGTGAGTCTCTGTGTGTCTCTATCGGTCTATCTGTGTGTCTCTGTGAGTCTCTGTGGGTCTGTGTGAGTCTCTGTGGGTCTCTGTGGGTCTCTGTGGGTCTCTGTGTGTCTCTGTGTGTCTCTGTGGGTCTCTGTGGGTCTCTGTGGGTCTCTGTGGGTCTCTGTGTGTTCCTGGGTCTCTGTGTGTCTCTGTGTGTCTCTGTGGGTCTCTGTGGGTCTCTGTGTGTCTCTGTGGGTCTCTGTGGGTCTCTGTGGGTCTCTGTGTGTCTCTGTGGGTCTCTGTGTGTCTCTGTGGGTCTCTGTGGGTCACTGTGGGTCTCTGTGGGTCTCTGTGTGTTCCTGTGTCTCTGTGAGTCTTTGTGGGTCTCGGTGGGTCTCTGTGGGTCTCTGTGAGTCTCTGTGGGTCTCTGTGGGTCTCTGTGTGTCTCTGTGGGTCTCTGTGTGTCTCTGTGGGTCTCTGTGTGTCTCTGTGGGTCTCTGGATCTCTATGGGTCTCTGTGTGTCTCTATGGGCCTCTATGGGTCTCTATGCCACTGCAAAGTATCTCAGTGGGGGGAGGCGCCTTACACCCGGTGAAAATACCAAAATAGTTTCAGAAGTTTCACATCGCTCCGGCGCCCCCCCCACGCCCCCCACCACGCCCCCCACCACGCTCCCCCCCCACGCTCCCCCCCCACGCTCCCCCCCCACGCTCCCCCCCCCACGCTCCCCCCACCACGCCCCCCACCACACCCCCCACTCACACCACACCCCCCACTCACACCACAGGTCGGCATGGTGCTGCACTACGCCACGCTCGCCACCTTTCTCTGGCTGGGCCTCCTCGCGCGCAACCTCTACAAGCAGCTGCCGCCCGGCTCACCTCGTCCGCCACGGGGATCCGCCGGGGTCAGGGGTCGCGCGGGCGATGAGGAGGAGGACGACGACGACGAGGAGGAGGAGGAGGCCCCGCTACCTAGGCCCATGCTCAGGTGACGCGGGCGGATGGTCTCTCCGCTGTTGGATGGGTTCCTCGTGTGATGAGTCTGTGGGTCTCTGTGTGGTGGTGGTGAGTCTATGGGTCTCTGTGTGGTGAGTCTATGGGTCTCTGTGTGGTGAGTCTATGGGTCTCTGTGTGGTGGCGATGAGTCTATGGGTCTCTTTGTGGTGATGAGTCTATGAGTCTCTGTGTGGTGATGAGTCTATGGGTCTCTGTGTGGTGATGAGTCTATGAGTCTCTGTGTGGTGGTGATGAGTCTTTGGGTCTCTGTGTGGTGGTGATGAGTCTATGGATCTCTGCGTGGTGGTGATGAGTCTATGGGTCTCTGTGTGGTGGTGGTGAGTCTATGGGTCTCTGTGTGGTGGTGATGAGTCTATGGGTCTCTGTGTGGTGGTGGTGGTGAGTCTATGGGTCTCTGTGTGGTGGTGGTGAGTCTATGGGTCTCTGTGTGGTGGTGATGAGTCTATGCGTCTCTGCGTGGTGGTGATGAGTCTATGGGTCTCTGTGTCGTGGTGATGAGTCTATGGGTCTCTGCGTGGTGGTGGTGGTGAGTCTATGGGTCTCTGTGTGGTGGTGATGAGTCTATGGGTCTCTGTGTGGTGGTTATGAGTCTATGGGTCTCTGTGGTGGTGATGAGTCTATGGGTCTCTGTGTGGTGGTGGTGAGTCTATGGGTCTCTGTGTGTTGGTGGTGAGTCTATGGGTCTCTGTGTGTTGGTGGCGCTGGTCTCTGATTGGCTTCCTCCAGGTTCTATCTGATTGGAGGAGGGATCCCGGTCATCGTCTGCGGGATCACAGCCGCAGCAAACATCCACAACTACGGCACCAGCGAGCACGTACCGTAGTGAGTCACCTCCTCATCCACCACCTCCTCATCCACCACCTCCTCATCCACCACCTCCTCTTCCTCGTCCACTACCACCTCCTCATCCACCATCTCATCCACCCCTTCGTCCACCACAACCACCACCATCACCACCACCACCACTACGACCACCATAACCACCACCATCACCACTACCACCACCACCATCACCACCATCACCACCACCTCCACCACCACCATCACTACCACCACTACCACCACCACTACCACCACCACCACGACCATCACCACCACCACTACCACCATCAACACCACCACCACCACTACCATCACCACCACCACCACCACTACGATCACCACCACTACCATCACCACCACTTCCACCACCACCACCACCACTACTACCACCACTACCACCACCACCACGACCATCACCATCACTACCACCACCACCATCATCACTACCACCTCCACCACCACTACCACCACCACCATCACCACCACTACCACCACCACTACCACCACCACTATCACCACCACCACCATCACCACCACTACCACCATCACCACCACCACCACTACCATCACCACTACCACCACCACCACTACCACCACCACCACTACCACCACCACCACTACCACCACCACCACTACCACCACCACCACTACCACCACCACCACTACCACCACCACTACCACCACCACCACTACCACCACCACCACCACCACTACCACCACCACCACTACCACCACCACCACTACCACCACCACCACCATCACCACCACCATCACCACCATCACCACCACCACCATCACCACCACCACTACCACCACCACTACCACCACTACCACCATCACCACCACCACCACCATCACCACCATCACCACCACCACCACCACTACCACCACCACCACCACCATCACCACCACCACCACCATCATCACCACCACCACCACCACCCACCCCTTGGCGTTGTCTCCACGCCCGCCAGCTGTTGGATGTCGCTGGAGCCCAGTCTGGGAGCGCTCTTCGGTCCGGTCGCCTTCGTGGCGCTGGTGGGCGCCGTTTACCTCTCCTGCCTCGCCGCTCGCCTGCGCCGACGCCGTTCCCCCGCCCAGCGCCGCGGCGGCGCCGACGCCGATGCCGACGCCGGTGCCGTCATCACGGCGACGACGGCGACGGCGACAACGACGGCGACGACGACGACGACCGCCTTGAGCAGCCTCCTCCGCCCGCCACGGTCGCGTCGCCGTCACCGCCGTCATCGTGACGACGGCGACGACGACGACGACGGTTTTGGTGATTGTGGCGGTGACTGTGGCGGCGGCGGTGGCGGCGGCGACTCTGGCGGTGACTGTGATGGCGGTGACTGTGATGACGGCGGCGACGGAGACAGGAGGCGGTTGGCCGCCACCGCCGCCACCGCCGCGATTGACGAACTTCCGCCGCTGCTTCTACCGCCGTCGTCATCCGCACAACAACAACAACAACAACAGCCGCAACAACAACAACAACAACAACAGCCGCAACAACAACAACAGCCGCCGTTGCTCCAACTCAACAACAACCTGCGGTGCGTGGTCGTGCGAAGGACTCCGGTCAGAATCAACGGCGTCGGCGGCGTCGGCAAACGCCGTGGCCGCCGTCACCGCCGCGGCGACGACGAGGAGGAGGAGGAGGAGGGAGGCGACGAGGAGGAGGAGGAGGAGGAGGAGCGCGACGAGAACCGCGACTACGAGCGCAGCCTGTCCTCGCGCCTGCGCGCCTGCCTGGCCTACGCCACGGCCTACACCGTGGCCTGGGCCGCGGCGGCCGCCTCCACCGCCCTGGGCTCACCAACAACAACAACGCCGGCGGCCACGGCCACGGCCACGGCGGCCACGGCGGCCGGAGCGGCAGCGGCGGCAGCGGCGTGCCTCTACGCGGCGGCGGCGGCGGCGCTGGGCTGCGGGGCGCTGGCCTTCCACTGCGCCGGCCGGGCCGACCTGCGAGCGGCCGCGGCCGCGGCGGCCGCGGCCGCGGCCGTGGCGGTGCGGCGGAAGGTGAAGGGGAGGGGCTGGGGGTGGTGCCGGTGCTGCGGCGGTGGCGGTGGCGGTGGTGGTGGTGGTAGTGGTGGAAGGTTCCTGGCCGGCGCTGTGAGGAGGCTGAGGGAGACGGCGGCAGGGAGCGGAGCGAGCGGCCTGGGAGATGGAGACGGTGAGGGGAGATGGTGGTGATGGTGGTGGTGATGGTGGTGGTGGTGGTGATGGTGATGGTATTGATGGTGGTGGTGGTGGTGATGGTGGTGATGGTGGCGATGGTGGTGGTGATGGTGGTGGTGATGGTGGTGGTGGTGGTGATGCTGGTGGTGGTGGTGGTGATAGTGGTGGTGGTGATGGTGATGGTATTGATGGTGGTGGTGGTGGTGATGGTGGTGATAGTGGTGATGGTGGTGATGGTGGTGATAATGGTGGTGCTACTGGTGATGGTGGTGGTGGTGATGGTGGTGGTGGTGGTGATGGTGGTGATAGTGGTGATGGTGATGGTGGCGATGGTGGTGATGGTGATGGTGGCGATGGTGGTGATGGTGGTGATGGTGATGGTATTGATGGTGGTGGTGGTGGTGATGGTGGTGGTGATGGTGATGGTGGTGATGATGGTGATGGTGGTGGACGAGGAAGTACTGAAGGCGATCTGGAGTCTGAGACCAGGAAAGGCAGCGGGCAGAGATGATCTCCCAAGCGAAATGTTGAGAGAGGGTGGCGTTTGTGCACAGACTGTGCCCTACATGACATCATAACAACAGTCTGGACCACTGGACGGGTTCCGCAGGATTGGAAGGATGCCCTGGTGGTCCCCCTCTTTAAGAAGGGGGACCGCACAGACTGTTAACAACTACAGGGGCATCTCACTCCTCAGTGTGCCGGGAAAGGTCCTGGCAAGGATTATTCAACATCGCCTTGCCAGGCACGCTGAGGAGAGGCTTGCGGAGCCCCAATGCGGTTTCAGGAAAGGGCGGTCCTGCACAGATGCCAGATTTTCTGTCCGTCTGCTACAGCAGAGGTGTAGGGAATTCCAACAAGACCTACATCTCTGCTTTATTGACCTGGTCAAGGCCTATGATACCATCAGTAGGCCTGGGCTCTGGGTTGTTCTTCGTGCTTTTGGAGTACCTGACCCTCTGCTCACGATCATTAAGGACCTTCATGATGGTGAGCGGGCCCGGGTAAAACTACGTGGCCGGGAGTCAGAGCCATTCCTGTACACCTTGGGGTGCGACAGGGATGTACTCTGGCTCCCACATTATTTAACATCTGTTTTGACCACGTAGTTCGTGAAGCCTTCAATAGCTGTACCGGGGTATTCTCCATATGGTACAGATATAATGGGAGGCTGATCGATGCCCGGGTGCGGTCAAGGGATGGCTCCCTATTGCTCAACCACGTTATGTATGCCGATGATTTGGTAATAGCTGCTCATTCAGAGGAGGAGTTGGAGACGCTGCTGCTGAGACTGGAGCGTGCCACTTAGAGATGGGGCCTTACCATCAGCCCCACCAAAACTAAGCACCTGCCTGGGTATTTTGTACCATCGGACACTCCACCCCCATAACTCCCAATCGGTGATGGGGCAGTTGTGGAGAGAGTGGAGAGTTTCCCATACCTGGGCAGTGTGCTTATGACCGGCTCCAGTTTAACAGCAGAGGTCTCACTCTGAATCAGTCGAGCGGCAATATCTTTTCATCGGTTGCATAATGCTGTGTGGAAGCTACCTGGTCTGTAGCTCCGCACTAAGCTTCAGGTCTTCTCGGCCACGGTCATTCCCTCCCTTCTCTACGCTTGCGAAACGTGGACCCCTTTAATGGAGCATCTTCGCCGGTTGGAAACATTTAGGCTGGCCTGCCTACGATCCATCCTGGGTTTAACCAGGCTGGATTGTGTGAGGAGCTCACAAATCCTTGAAAGATCTGGGCAAGGTCCCATCGGTGAGCTCCTCCGGCAGGCAAGGCTGCGATGGCTGGGTCATGTAGCCCGCATGCCCAGCAACCGCATGCCGAAACAGCTTTTGTTCAGCCAGATCGAGGGGGCTAAACGGGCGCGGCACGGGCTAGAGAAGAGATGGAGTGATGTGGTATAGGAGGACGTGGAGCTGAGTGGACTTGCCGATGACTGGTACCAGCGGTGTCAAGATCGGCCTCTGTGGAGGAGGCTCGTGAAGGACGCTCCTGGGCAGTTGGAGGCAGTCGCCCTCCAACAACAACGGAGGGCGGAGGAGCGACGCTCACAACAACGAGCGGAGCGCCGGGTGGCTGAAGCACAGCAGGTTGGCACAGTAGGGGGCACAGGTGGTGCATCAGCCAGTCATCTCAGTCAGTCGACCCGTGGCACCTGCTGGGTCTGCCCCGTGACCTGCCCTTGAGGCCACGCTTCATGTGGCCTCAAGGTGCACATGGCCTTGCACAAGCGTCGTGGTGATGTCACCGCCACTTGGTGGCGAATGGCGGTTGTTGTTGTTGTGTGGATGTGCGGTTGGGTGTTGACAGTGTGCGTGTGGTGCCTGTGATTATTTGTTTGTGAGATCACTTGGTCTGGTGTCTGTGTAACTGTCTCTCTCTCCTCTCCACTTCTCTCCATGTCACAGTCAGCATCACCGCCACTTGGTGGCGAATGGCGGTTGTTGTTGTTGTTGTGTGGATGTGTGTGCGTGTGGTGCCTGTGATTATTTGTTTGTGAGATCACTTGGTCTGGTGTCTGTGTAACTGTCTCTCTCTCTCTCCTCTCCACTTCTCTCCATGTCACAGTCAGCATCACCGCCGAACCACCGGCACCACCACCACAACAGTCGCCACAACAATCGCCACAACAATCGCAACAACCACCGTCGCCACCACCAGCAACCGCCATCCCCTTCTCTCCACTCGCCACGACCACCGCCATCACCGCCACCTCCCCCATACTCGCCGGAGCCGGTGCCGCCGCCGGCGCCATGGGAGAGGTTCGCCTCCAGCCCAAGGTGTGCAACCTCGCGGCCGAGGCCCGCGCCATCCGCCAGGCCGGCGCGACTGAAATGGAGCCGCAGCCGCAGCCGCAGCAGCAGCAGCAGCAGCAGCAGCAGCAGGCGGTGACTGACAGGGCGGTGGTCCTTGCGTCTCTCCTGGCAAGCGCCGGGCCGTCCGCCCGGCGCTACCACAAGAACCGCGCTCGCTCTCTGCACCAGGGCTTGGCCGGAGGCGGCGGAGGAGGCGGCGGAGGCGGCGGAGGCGGAGGAGGCGGCGGAGGCGGAGGAGGAGGCGGAGGAGGAGGAGGAGGCGCAGCGGCGGTGCAGTTGGCGGCACAGCTGCACTGGCGCCACGGGAAGCTGGCGGCGCTGCGTGGTTACGCGTTTGACGTCCCCACCAGCGTGGAAGGCAGCGAGGAGAGCGGCCGCGGTGGTGGTGGAGGAGGTGGAGCGGCCAGCAACAGGAGCAGCAGCTGTGGTGAGGGATGGTGGGGGGTGGTGGTGACGGTGGTGGTGACGGTGGTGGTGACGGTGGTGGTGGTGGTGTAAGTGGTGGTGGTGACGGGGGTGGTGGTGGTGGTGGTGATGGTGGTAGTGGTGGTGGTAATGGTGGTGGGGATGGTGGTGGTGATGGTGATGATGTTGCTGATGTTGGTGGTGATGGTGTAAGTGGCGGAGCCAGGAGATTGAATCTCTACCCTCGGGGCTCCTCCAGAAACAACGAAAAGCCACTACGGGTGGCCACGTGGAATGTTCGAACGCTCACTGCGGAGGAGAGGCTGCCACTCCTCTGTCGGGAGCTGGACCGGTACCGCCTGGATCTATGTGGCATTCAGGAGGTCCGGTGGACCAGTTCTGGCTCCTGCCACCATGTGGGGTGGACAGTCCTCTACTCGGGGCAGCAGACTGCCAAACAACAGGGTGTGACTCTTCTTTTGAACAAAAGAATGAAGGGGGCGTGGGAGCGTGGCGGTGAGGTGTGGGAAGCTGTAAGCCCCAGGCTACTTTGGGCTCGCCTTCCCATCAACCGGAGGCGAGGAGTGGTGGTCGTGGTTACTTATGCCCCCACCGAAGATGAACATCCGTGGAGGGATGCAGGCAAAGCCGATGAGTCAGATGCCTTCTGTGACCTCCTGTTACAGGTGCTGGCTAAAGTGGCCCCTCGGGATAGAGTCATCATGTTGGGTGACTTCAATGCCCGAGTTGGTCATGATGCTGGCACCTGGTCTGGAGTGATTGGAGGGCATGGGCCAGATCAGCTCAATAACCACGGTAGGAGGCTGCTAGATTTTTGTGCAGCCCATGGGCTTGTAATTACCAACACGCTGTTCCGGCATCGGCGCATCCACACAACATCATGGATGCATGCCGGGTCCAAGCAAGAACATCTGCTGGACTACATAGTGACGGACCAGCGGATGCGAGCCCATGTCCTTGACACCAGGACCTACCGTGGAGCTGATCTGCCCTCTGACCATCGACTAGTCATCTGTAAGATGCGCCTGCCATTCTTCCACTCTGGTGGAGGGTGTACACCCAGGACCCCATTCCAACCTAAAGTGGCCTGGTCTCAGTTATCTGATGAAAGTTGCAAGCGAGAATTTCATCATCGCTTGTGGCTGGGATTGGCATCGTCCCCCACTCCTCCTGATGTCGAGGGTAAATGGGCGAGGTTTAGGACTGTGACTCATGCAGCTGCAATGGCTGCTTTGGGTACGCGGTCCAGACCTCCCCAGAGACCCTGGCTGACAGAGGAGAGGTGTTCAGGATGGTTGAGAAAAAGCGACAGGCCCACTGTCATCGGCTACAGAATCCCACGTCAAAAGAATGAGGAGGCTTACCGCAGCCTTCGCTCGGAGGTTCGGAGAGCCGTGAGGCGCTGCAAGGATGGGTGGTGGTCGCGGGTTGCTGAGGCGATGGAGTCTGCCTCAGTGGCCCGTGATCACAAATCTCTATTTAACTCCATCAAAAAAGTAACCTACAGCACCACACCTATTACCATCATTAGGGGAAAAAACGGTGATCCAATCTCCGACCCCCAGGAACAGGTTTGCAGATTTGCTGAGCATTTCTGTGAGGTCCTGGGGGAGGGAAAATCCCTCAGCCAGGAAAACATCGTGGCACAAAGTGAGGATGACCCTGCTGAGGCTGCGGTGCCTCAAATATTGGAAGAAGTCACCCCCTGTGAGTGGCTGGCTGAGGTGCCATCTTTTGAGGAAGTACTGAAGGCGATCCGGAGTCTGAGACCAGGAAAGACAGCGGGCAGAGATGATCTCCCAAGCGAAATGCTAAGGGAGGGTGGCGTTTGTGCACAGACTGCCCTATATGACATCATAACAACGGTCTGGACCACTGGACGGGTTCCGCAGGATTGCAAGGATGCCCTGGTGGTCCCCCTTTTTAAGAAGGGGGACCGCACAGACTGTAACAACTACAGGGGCATCTCACTCCTCAGTGTGCCGGGAAGGTCCTGGCAAGAATTATTCAGCATCGCCTTGCCAGGCACGCTGAGGAGAAGCTTGCGGAGCCCCAATGCGGTTTCAGTAAAGGGCGGTCCTGCACAGATGCCATATTTTCTGTCCGTCTGCTACAGCAGAGGTATAGGGAATTCCAACAAGACCTACATCTCTGCTTTATTGACCTGGTCAAGGCCTATGATACCATCAGTAGACCTGGGCTCTGGGTTGTTCTTCGTGCTTTTGGAGTACCTGACCCTCTGCTCACGATCATTAAGGACCTTCATGATGGTGAGCGGGCCCGGGTAAATCTACGTGGCCGGGAGTCAGAGCCATTCCCTGTACACCTTGGGGTGCGACAGGGATGTCCTCTGGCTCCCACATTATTTAACATCTCTTTTGACCACGTAGTTCGTGAAGCCTTCAATAGCTGTACCGGGGGAATCTCCATATGGTACAGATATAATGGGAGGCTGATCGATGCCCGGGTGCGGTCAAGGGATGGCTCCCTATTGCTCAACCACGTTATGTATGCTGATGATTTGGTAATAGCTGCTCAGTCAGAGGAGGAGTTGGAGACGCTGCTGCTGAGACTGGAGCGTGCCACTAAGATGTGGGGCCTTACCATCAGCCCCACCAAAACTAAGCACCTGCCTGGGTATTTTGTACCATCGGACACTCCACCCCCACAACTTCTAATCGGTGATGGGGCAATTGTGGAGAGAGTGGAGAGTTTCCCACACCTGGGCAGTGTGCTTATGACTGGCTCCAGTTTAACAGCAGAGGTCTCACTCCGAATCAGTCGAGCGGCAATGTCTTTTCATCGGTTGCGTAACGCTGTGTGGAAGCTACCTGGTCTGTCGCTACGCACTAAGCTTCAGGTCTTCTCGGCCACGGTCATTCCCTCCCTTCTCTACGCTTGCGAAACGTGGACTCCCCTAATGGAACATCTTCGCCGGTTAGAAACATTTAGGCTGGCCTGCCTACGATCCATCCTGGGTTTAACCAGACTGGATTGTGTGAGGAGCTCACAAATCCTTGAAAGATCTGGGCAAGGTCCCATCGGTGAGCTCCTCCGGCGGGCAAGGCTGCGATGGCTGGGTCATGTAGCCCGCATGCCCAGCCACCGCATACCGAAACAGCTTTTGTTCGGCCGGATTGAGGGGGCTAAGCGGGCGCGGCACTGGGTAGAGAAGAGATGGAGTGATGTGGTACAGGAGGACGTGGAGCTGAGTGGACTTGCCGATGACTGGTACCAGCGGTGTCAAGATCGGCCTCTGTGGAGGAGGCTCGTGAAGGACGCTACTGGGCAGTTGGAGGCAGTCGCCCTCCAACAACAACGGAGGGCGGAGGAGCGACGCTCACAACAACGAGCGGAGCGCCGGGTGGCTAAAGCACAGCAGGTTGGCACAGTAGGGGGCACAGGTGGTGCATCAGCCAGTCATCTCAGTCAGTCGACCCGTGGCACCTGGGTCTGCCCCGTGACCTCCTGCCAGCAGGCGTTCGACACTTCACGTGGTCTCAGGGTGCACATAGCCTGGCACAAGCGTCGTGGTGACGTCACCGCCACTTGGTGGCGAATGGCGGTTGTTGTTGGTGGTGATGTTAGTGGTGGTGGTGGTGATGGTGGTAGTGGTGATGTTAGTGGTTGTGTGGATGGCAGTTGTGGTGATGTTGATGATGTTGGTGGTGGTGGTGGGGAGTGGTAGTGTAGTGTATAGTGTACTGTAGTAGCGGTTAGCGCCACGCTGCGCTATGAACCTGGCGACCCGGGTTCGATTCCCGCTCACGGCCACCACCACCAGTGACGATTATCTGAACCGGTCCTGGGCCTCCCCTAGGTCGACTCAGCCTCAACTGAGTACCTGGTGTAGCTGTGGTGTGTAGTAAACATCGCTAGCACTGGGGGAGAGACAAAGGCGGCCGAGCGTGGTGCTGGCCACCCACCCCCTCGTGGGCCGTGCCGGCCTTCATAGGTGCTCGCTAACAGCACTTACCCCTACAGCCTGTGTGAGGCTACACGGGGGATCTTTGTCTTTGGTGAGTGGTGATTAGTGCCTGAGTCTCTCCCCTCTCCCCACTCTCCCCCCACTCTCCCCCCCCCCCCCACTCTCCCCACTCTCCTCTCTCTCCCCACTCTCCCCCCACTCTCCCCCCACTCTCCCCCCACTCTCTCCCCCCACTCTCTCCCTCCACTCTCCCCCCACTCCTCACCACTCTCCCCACTCTCCCCCCACTCTCTCCCCTCCCCCCACTCCCCCCACTCTCCCCACTCTCTCCCCACTCTCCTCTCTCTCCCCACTCTCCCCACTCTCCTCTCTCTCCCCTCTCTCCCCACTCTCCCCCCACTCTCCACTCTCTCCCCACTCTCCCCCCTCTCTCCCCACTCCCCCCACTCCCCCCACTCTCCCCACTCTCTCCCCTCTCTCCCCACTCTCCCCCCACTCTCTCCCCCCTCTCCCCCCCACTCTCCCCCCACTCTCCCCCCACTCTCTCCCCACTCTCTCCCCCCTCTCTCCCCCCTCTCTCCCCCCTCTCCCCCCTCTCCCCCCACTCTCCCCACTCTCTCCCCACTCCCCCCACTCTCCCCCCACTCTCCTCCCTCCCCACTCTGCCCTCTCTCTCCCCTCTCTCCCACTCTCCCCTCTCTCCCCACTCTCCTCTCTCTCCCCACTCTCCCCACTCTCCACTCTCTCCCCACTCTCCCCCCACTCTCCCCACTCCCCCCACTCTCCCCCCTCTCTCCCCACTCCCCCCACTCCTCGCCAGGTCACAGTGAACGCCGCTACTACCACCACCACCACCACCGTCACCGCCCTCCCTCCAGCCGGTCGGCGCTGAACCTCAGGAGAGCCACGGCCATCGCACCACCACCACCACCAACAACAACAACGACAACAACAACGGCACCACCAACGACAACAACAACAACAATCGGCGACAACAACAATTTATCGGGCGACCACCAACACCAGCACCACCACCCCAACCACCACCACCCCAACCACCGTGCCCCCGCCACCACCTCAGTGACCCAGCGCCATCGGAACCACAGGCAGCAGCAGCAGCAGCATCATCAGCATCATCAGCAGAACCAGCAGCAGCAGCAGCTGCAGCAGCATCATCAGCAGCTGCAGCAGCAGCCGGTGACGGCGGTGGCGGCTGTCAACTCCGAATGCTACGGGGTGAACCTCGTCCTGGCCGCAGCCGGCGCCGGCAACTCGAGAGACTTCGCCGGTGGTGGCGGCGGTGGCGGTGGTGGTGGTGGCGGTGGTGCGACAAGCAATGGATGGTCGTATCTCCGTACCGGTGCCGGTGGTGGTGGTGCCGGTGGTGATGCCGGTGGTGGTGGTGGTGGTGGCGGTCTGTGGCGAAATGAGACCACGGTGTGAGACGCTTCGCTCACACACACACAGTGTACACACACACACACAGTGTACACACACACAGTGACACACACACAGTGTACACACACAGTGTACACACACACACAGTGTACACACACACACACACAGTGTACACACAGTGTACACACACCGTGTACACACACAGTGTACACACACAGTGTACACACACACAGTGTACACACACACAGTGTACACACACACACAGTGTACACACACACACACAGTGACACACACACAGTGACACACACACAGTGTACACACACACACAGTGACACACACACAGTGACACACACACAGTGACACACACACAGTGACACACACACAGTGTACACACACACAGTGACACACACACAGTGTACACACACACACAGTGACACACACACAGTGTACACACACACACAGTGTACACACACACAGTGTACACACACACACAGTGACACACACACAGTGACACACACACAGTGTACACACACACACAGTGACACACACACAGTGACACACACACAGTGTACAGACACACACACAGTGTACACACACACACACAGTGTACACACACACAGTGTACACACACAGTGTACACACACACACACAGTGACACACACACAGTGACACACACACAGTGTACACACACAGTGTACACACACACAGTGTACACACACACACAGTGACACACACACAGTGACACACACACAGTGTACACACACAGTGTACACACACAGACACACAGTGTACGCACACACAGTGACACACACAGTGTACACACACACACACAGTGTACACACACACACAGTGACACACACACAGTGTACACACAGTGTACACACACACAGTGACACACACACAGTGTACACACACACACACAGTGTACACACACAGTGTACACACACACAGTGTACACACACACAGTGTACACACACAGTGTACACACACACAGTGTACACACACAGTGACACACACAGTGACACACACACAGTGTACACACACACAGTGTACACACACAGTGACACACACAGTGACACACACACAGTGTACACAGACACAGTGTACACACACACAGTGTACACACACAGTGACACATACACAGTGACACACACACAGTGTACACACACACAGTGACACACACAATGACACACACACAGTGTACACACACAGTGTACACACACACACAGTGTACACACACAGTGTACACACACAGTGTACACACACACAGTGTACACACACACAGTGTACACACACACAGTGTACACACACAGTGACACACACAGTGACACACACACAGTGTACACACACACAGTGTACACACACACAGTGTACACACACACAGTGTACACACACACAGTGTACACACACAGTGACACACACACAGTGACACACACAGTGACACACACACACACACTGACGCAGAGACACGTGGAGACACGCAAAGACACAGAGACCCAGACCTCCACAGAGACACAGACTCACACAGAGACACAGACTCACACAAATACACAGACTCACACAGAGACACACAGAGACCCAGACTCACACAGACTCACACAGACTCACACAGAGACACACAGAGACCCAGACTCACACAGACTCACACAGAGACACAGACTCACACAAATACACAGACTCACACAGAGACACACAGAGACCCAGACTCACACAGACTCACACAGACTCACACAGAGACACAGACTCACACAAAGACACAGCCTCACACAGAGACACAGACTCACACAAAGACACAGACTCATACAGAGGCACAGACTCACACAGAGACACAGACTCACACAGAGACACACAGAGACACAGACTCACAGAGACACGCGAAGACACAGAGACCCAGACCTCCACAGAGACCCAGACCTCCACAGAGACCCAGACTCCACAGACTCACACAGAGACACAGACTCACACAGAGACACACAGAGACCCAGACTCACACAGACTCACACAGAGACACAGACTCACAGAGACACACGAAGACACAGAGACCCAGACCTCCACAGAGACCCAGACTCACACAGAGACACACAGGGACACACAGACTCACACAAAGACACAGACTCACACAGAGACACAGACTCACACAGAGACACAGACTCACACAGAGACACAGAGACACAGACTCACACAGAAACAGACTCACACAGAGACACAGACTCACACAGACACACACAGACTCACACAGACTCACACAGAGACACAGACTCACACAGAGACACACAGTGACCCAGACTCACACAGAGACATAGAGACCCAGACCCCCACAGAGGCCCAGACTCACACAGGGACACACAGGGACACACAGACTCACACAGACTTACACAGAGACACACAGAGACACAGACTCACACAGAAACACAGACTCACACAGACTCAGACACACGCAGAGACACAGACTCACACAGAGACACACTCACACAGGCTCGCACAGACTCACACAGACTCACACAGACTCACACAGACTCACACAGACTCACACAGAGACACACAGAGACACAGACTCACACAGACTCAAACAGACTCAAACAGACACACGCAGAGACACACAGACTCACACAGACTTACACAGAGACACACAGAGACACAGACTCACACAGAGACATAGACTCACACAGAGACACAGACTCACACAGAGACACAGACTCACACAGGGACACACAGGGACACACAGAGACACACAGACACACAGGGACACACGTGGACACAGAGACACACAGGAACACACAGACTTACACAGAGACACACAAAGACACAGTCTCACACAGAGACACAGACTCACACAAAGACACAGACTCACACAGAGACACAGACTCACACAGAGACACAGACTCACACAGAGACGCAGACTCACACAGAGACACACAGAGACCCATACTCACACAGAGACACACAGAGACCCAGACTCACACAGAGACATAGAGACCCAGACCCCCACAGAGACCCAGACTCACACAGGGACACACAGAGACACACAGACTCACACAGACTCACACAGACTCAGACTCACGCAGAGACACAGACTCACACAGAGACACAGACTCACACAGAGACACAGACTCACACAGGCTCGCACAGACTCACACAGACTCACACAGAGACACACACAGACACACGGGGAGGGTAATACCGACCTTTGAGATGGTTGTCTACAAATTGCGGCCTTTAGTGGCTGGTCAAGGAGGCTTTTGAAGTGACTGAAGTCGTTTCTGTTCATGAATGGAGCAACTGATGAAGGAAAATGATCGCTTTGCTCACCTACTCACTCACCCACACTCACCCCACTCACCCACTCACTCACCCACACTCACCCCACCTACCCACTCACTCACACTCACCCCACCTACCCACTCACCCCCACCTACTCACTCACCCCCACCTACCCACTCACCCACACTCACCCACACTCACCCCACCTACCCACTCACTCACTCACACTCACCCCACCTACCCACTCACCCCACCTACTCACTCACCCCCACCTACCCACTCACCCACACTCACCCCACCTACCCACTCACTCACCCCCACCTACCCACTCACCCACTCACCCCCACTCACCCCCACCTACCCACTCACCCACTCACTCACCCACACTCACCCCCACCTACTCACTCACCCACCCACTCGCTCACCCCACCTACCCACTCACCCCCAACTACCCACTCACCCACCCACTCACCCACTCACTCACCCACACTCACCCCCACTCACCCACTCACCCACCCACACTCACCCCCCCACTCACTCACCCACTCACTCACCCCCACTCACCCACTCACTCAACCACCCACTCAACCACCCACCCACTCACCCACTCACCCACCCACTCACCCACCCACTCACTCACCCACCTACTCACCCACTCACCCACCCACTCACCCACTCACCCACCCACTCACCCACTCACTCACCCACCTACTCACCCACTCACCCACCCACTCACCCACCCACCTACTCACTCACCCACCTACTCACCCACTCACCCACCCACTCAATCACCCACTCAACCACCCACCCACTCACCCACCCACTCACTCACCCACCTACTCACCCACCCACTCACCCACCCACTCACCCACTCACCCACCTACTCACTCACCCACCTACTCACCCACCCACCTACTCACCCACCCACTCACTCACCCACCCACTCACCCACCCACTCACCCACCCACTCACCCACCCACTCACCCACCCACTCACTCACCCACCCACCCACTCACCCACCCACCCACTCACCCACCCACCCACTCACCACGTGGCCTCCAGCCTGTGACCCAGCTGTGTAAGCAGGAAGTGAAGTTTTTTAGTGCGGCTCATTAATATTCATGTGGCAGCTCATGAATTATTAATCGAAATTATGTTAATTAGCAGGATGTTAATTATGGTAATTAATGCGTCACGCGTACCACGTGTATTATAATTTGGTGCGATGTTAATTACGGTAATTAATGTGGTACCTATGATAATTAGTTCCTGTGATGGTTATTATGATAATGATCCAGTAATCATTGTGATAGGTACATGTTATGATAATTAGTGTAATAACTAATAATCAGTATGGTATTGAGTAACTATAAGCATTTTAATTATTATTAATGACTTTATATATTAGTAGCTGTGTTGTATTTTTGTATTTCTCCGTTCTGTAATTTAAGTTTTTTTTTTAATTAATAACATCAAAGTCGTCATTATTATTATTTACACACAAAGACTTGAGTGGTGGACTTGTATCCTTCAGTGCTGGCAATGTCCACGTTGCTTTGCCAGGGCCATGGACGTCCCATTGTTCTCACCTGATGGTGGTGGTGGTGATGATGGTGGTGGTGATGGTGGAGGTGGTTGTGGTGATGATGATGGTGATGATGGTGGTAGTGATGGTGATGATGGTGGTGATGGTGGTGGTGATGATGATGGTGGTGGTGATGGTGGTGATGGTGGTGATGGTGGTGGTGATGATGGTGGTGGTGATGGTGGTGGTGATGGTGGAGGTGGTGATGATGGTGGTGGTTGTGGTGATGGTGATAGTGGTGGATGTGGTGATGGTGGTGATGGTGGTGATGATGGTGGTGATG